GTAATATATTTGGCAGCTACAGGGATCGGAACACATACTGTATACAATACACTGACTCTACAAAACTTCCTATTTTTGTATGTTCTTTCACTTTTAAGGGCTTGTGTGTGTCACCTCTTTAGGCAACTAGGCCACCTTAATAATCTGGTCAGTGACTTGAAAATGAAAAATTAAAAAGTGAAATCTCTTGCATTTTGCAGCTACAGAGATCAGCAGTGTGACTCCTTTAGAAAGCCACATAAACAGAAAAGGCTTTGCTTGTGGGAGTTGGAAATAAATAAGCTACTCTTTAACAAAATAACTGGCCAAAACAAAAGAAAAATAAAAAATAGACAAAACATTGTGATACTTTAAAGAAGAGCTGCCATATTTTAAGGTGAGCTTTTGTGGACAAGTCTACTTCCTCAGATATAAAATGACAAATATTTAACAGGTGACTCACATGTCCAAAATATAGTTATCTGTTTCTGAAACATTTTATGTTTATCAACAATGCACATGAATAGCAAGAATGAACCCTATTTTTAAAATAGCATTTAACCTGAAGAGAAGATTAGGTTTGTACATTATTCTATCTACTGTTTTCCAAAAGTAATATTCCAGCTTTTATTAATGGTTAATAAAGATTTTATACCACAGCAATATGTAGGCTGTTACACACAACATATGATTGATGAACTTCTTTCTCTTCACTTTATGAATAGGACTATAGGACAAAATAGCTACTTACTTTAAATGAATATAAATTAAATTGTTGAAGAGCTATAAGGATCCACAGAAATTTGATCACCCTCTCACACAAGTGGAGGATACAGATGCATTAACAATATCAATTGTGTCTTCACCCAGAAATTGAGCTAGGCTCACTTGGTTAATCTTAGCTGGCTCAGCCTACAACAACATTTAGCAATAATGGAAACCATGGCAAACTATACCAAATACTTTCCATATGTAATACTAAGTAGGTTTCAGCAATGTATTTGTCCATGACACTAGTCTGAGATCAATCATAATGACTTAGTTGTATTAATATTGCAAAGTGGTTACACAGACATACTTTTTTTCTATTTACAGGAAAATTGAAATCAACATACCCACAATTTTGCACAAGTCAGATTTCATTCATCCAAAAACATAAATTGAATAGAGCTGAGGAATCTAGTTTGCCTAATGTATGCTTTCTTAAAACATTGAAAGCACTACCCCAACATAACTTTAGGTAATGCATAAATAATATTTATAATTTAGTCAAGACTAGTTTGTTTAGATGCCTTTGTAGAACATTTATTCTAGTAATACTTATACACAATTATTCTATTTATATGGCAACCATTCTAGTCCTGCTTTGGAAGCAAGCTAATTCATTGCAATCCAGTTGCACTGCAGAACAAGTTAAAGCAGTTTGTTCTTTCACAGTGGGAATAATTTTGTACATCTCAAAAAAGAAGATATTTTTCAGTTTGTAGTGGAGACAGATGACTGGTTAACTATTTCTTTATATAAGTAGGCCTTAAATGTGGCAATTACCTACACATTGGCCCTTTAAAATTGCTTCCTAGAAGCTGTTCAGAATTTCAGCATTTCTCAACAATAATTAATTGCCACTATTCACATTATGATTTTTATAAAAGAAAAACATATTTGAATGTTGAATATTAGAAACGCTGTACAAGTGTCTGCACCCACAAATGACACATTTATACACAGTCAGAATGTACACAAATATTATAGGGCACATATGTATCTGCACTGTACGAAGACTGGCACAAAGTCTAAGGCACCCTGACTACAAGATGGTGAAGATATGTAGTCAGTTCTGACCTATGTTATTTCTACAAGATAAAACTGAAAGAAGTTATTATTATAAAACACTAACACTTAAAAATGATCACATAATAGAATCCAATACTTCCAAGATATAGCTATAAGAGGTCAAACATGGAATGGAATGACAGATTGCATATTCTACTTCCATGTCAAAATGTGCAGCATTACAAGAATCCCAATGCCCAAGAAAATTTAGCCTTATGTGTTCTCTGTATCTAGCAATCAGTAATTTCTAATCCCAGTTTATAGCTAAATGGAAATTAAGAGTTTGCTTTTAAGAGCAAACAGCAGATTAAGTTTGTTGAAAGTAATTAAATGGTTTTGTGTATGGCAAGAGCAAAACTTTATTTTTGTAATTTGTTTTAAAAAAGACCTCATGTTAATGTCTGAATAGCCGCCATACTACCATTGGTAAAAACAACATCGATTAATGCAAGCTGAACACAAAAATATCTGTTTTTAAAATTATTTAGAAGTTTCTACATTTTAAGATGACCAAAAACAGACCAAAAGTTACACACACAAGAATCAAAGTAGCCTAGCGGTAGAGGAAAGAGTACTACCATTCCATCCTACAGCATTTGAATGTTTCCCTGTGCTTTCTACGGCATGGCAATAGTTTCATTTATAACTATGAGAAACTGTTGCACTAGGAACAACGTCTGCTCACTGTCCCATGCTCAGGTAGCCCAAGCATCATCAACCGGAATTCGGAAAGGAGTTATTGCTTATCTGTAAAAAGAAATCCTGTAGCTGCCAACAGTAACAAGCTAGCATATGCATCAAAATTCTCCTTAGGAAGACAGGTAATAAGAAATACTAAAAGAACAGGTGTCCTTTTATTTATTTTCTTCTGCAACTCTTTGCACTATCTTTAGTGCATCTCCCTTTATATAATACTGTATTATGTTTTGGGGTTTTTTTTTAGCTTTTCATAATGTTTGCTTTAATAGTGCAAACTGCTTTGGATCCTCTTGAGGAGAAAGACTAGGTATGAATGAATATTTTCAGAGACTGTGAGAAGATCCAACAAAAAGTTGCAAACAGATGTTTACTCACAACCCTTCATCTAGCACAATCCAAAGCTATTTGAACAGGGTCTTTTAGTCCTGTAACAATACCTTCCCTTAGAGAGGAAATACGATTGAGACACTGTATCAATCTAGTTAAGAATTAGGGCCATGCCTTAGGTTCAGCAGAGGGGCTAGCAATTTTGGCTCTTCTCATTGTGCTTCGGGTTTGTTTTCTTTTCATGGATTTGTAAGCCACTCTGGGGACTTTCTTGGTAAAGAGAAGTAGACACTTGCTTTAAATAAATATCCTTATTTTCAATATGTGAGGGTCAAAATGATTGGATCAGACTCCTAAAAATGTAAACTATTTTCATGTCTATCAGTCTGCATTCCTTGAATACCATTTGTTTTACTTTCTGTGTTCTACTAAAAGCAGTACTAGTCTTAGTTTTACACCTTCTTTGCCTGGTGAAATTACATTTCAGTGATCCAATAAATCCAATAGCCAAACCAAGAACTTCATTTTTATTAACAATGTAGTTGTTCAGCAATGCTATAAAGTATCTCTAAAGGTTTTTTTTTCCAAAAAACCTTTCTACTGGCTAAATGAGTAACAGCAAAGTACTTGAAACATAACTATTACTTTGTACCTTTGAATTAAGGACAATGATTATATGCCTCTATTCCATCAGGAGAAGAAATTGGCCATTAAATCATTCCTTGCCTTCATGTTAAATGGTAGGAGTAAACTCTTCTCTTCTGTTCTTAAGACCTGCATTCCTCAGCAAAAAGATAACTTGGCTTTGTGTTCCATTTTCATTTGGTATTCCCTATCTTTACTTTCCTTTTTTAAAAAAAGGTACTTGTGTATGTACGTGAGTGCAGTTCTCCCTCCCCCCAAAAGTCCCCAGGTTTTCCATTCCTGGTTGGGGGGGGGGGAGAAGGTCCATCTAGACCAGTGATGGCGGACCTATGGCACATGTGCCACAGCTGGCACACAGAGCCCTCTCTGTGGGCACATGAGCCATAAGTCACCATCGAGAAATACTTGCCTGTCCTCTGATCCCAGATTTTGGGAAGAAATCTTGGGAAGGGAGGGAGAGCCAAGAGGGCAACAGCCGCTGCCACCACAAACACACGTGCACGCATGCGCATGCGCACGCACACACACGCCAGGCATGGAAACACCCGGCTCCTGCCACCTGCGCCTTTAAAGATTGCAGCCACAGGTGGAGAGAGGAGTGTCCCAGGCAGGCACTGGAGGTTCTGCGGCTGGAGGAGTGGGACTCTTCGGGACAGTCATGGTTAGTATTATGTTGCAGTTTGGGCACTCAGGCTCAAAAAGGTTCACCATCACTGCTCTAGACCCTCCCCAAAATTCTGAAGTGCCCATCTAGGCATATCCTGTTTACTTTTAAAACCTGCCACTTTCATGTGCAGCTCATGAGGTGGGAGTGGGGCCGTGAATTTGGCGACATGACCCAATGACCTTGTCCATCACTGCTGTTAGAGATAATCTTTAAAAAATGAATCCCAGAACCAACACTTTGATAAAACAAATACTGTACATTTTTAAAAACATTATGATTTCAAGGCTCTAATATCCAGCAATCACTATCATTAAATTATAGTAACAGCATACTCCTATGACACCATTCTGGTATGCAACATGAAGGGCAACTAATTTTTCTGAGGTCATATTTACACATTTCTAGCAGGAGGTTTATTTTAATTGTATTTTAACTGTTTTGTCTTTTTTATTGTATTTTAATTGTTGTAAGCTGTCCAGAGACCTTTGATAGAGTGAGTAGCATATAAGTTAAATAAATAAAGTCCTACAAAAGAATATGTACCCCAGTAGTGTGTTGAATGATACGAAATAATTAATATTTCAACAGAAATCTAAGAGACATAATTCCTGCTACAAGACTAAACTAGGCTCGTTACAGCTCAAAAATTTTGTAATGTTCACAAATACTAACATGGTTTTTCGATTTTCTACAGCCAAGAGAGAGAATACCAAAATCTCCTGTTTTCAGAATAAACATTAAATTACTCTCTATTTTTTTTTTCAGGCAATGGTAAACCATATTCAAGGAATGACTATTTATTGACTTAAAATCAATTTCATCAATTAAGCATTCTGTAGTAAATACTTACTTCATTCCCATGCTTCTGAAGAAATTCTATTTCCTGCTGTGTAAACGTGGTCATGGAAATGGACTTCACTCTGTGAGGTGGATTTAAACCTCGCCTATAAAGCAAGAAGTTTTAAGATAGTGACTGCAGGAATGTTTTAGAAAATGGAAGCTTTAACCAAACCTTTACTTTTAAAGTTATGATTCATAAAAAAATAAATACTATATTTGAGGAATCATAAGAAATACGAAAGAAATCTGTCCTTTCCATACTTCAGACTGAAGTATGAGTCAAGTCTTCAAAAGTTACATACAATTAATACTAACTTGCATGGATTGCTGCCTTGTCATGGCGAAGGGACTTGAGTAACTCAGAGAAGCTATGGGCTATACCATGCAGGGACACCCAAGATGGACAGACATATTGGAGAGTTCCAACTAAACGCAATCCACCTGGAGTAGGAAATGGCAATGTCACGCCAGTATCTTTGCCAAGAAAACCCCATGAGCAGAAACAAAAGGCTAAAAGATATGACGCTGGAAGATGAGCC